TTGCCCACTCTTTCAGCTCATTTGCGGTAATTAAAATTTCATTTGGCTTTCGTCGTCTGTTCAAATTTAATTGACATTAGCGCAAGCATTCAGACAGATATCCGTGGGTATTGGAATGAGGGAAGGACGGACCTACTGCAATCCGTCAAGTCATAAAAACAAAGGCAAACCAAAATGGCGCTGGATGGAGGACTCCTCCAGGTCCGCCAGAAATGTCGCCACAGCGGGGCATAAATAAACCTGCGCCCATATTTTACGACACCCCCTCGCCAGCCAACCCCACACAACCCACACCTTTTAGCGTTCACCCATAAAAAACTATAAAAACTAAACGTAAATAATTCTATCTGGAAACTTGCAGGGAAAGCAAACTTGATACTCCACAACCGCCCTTGCCACTGCAGTTTTTCTCTTCTTCCGTTTCTTCCGTTGTCTTTGCGCATTTTTCCCCCATTAATATTATTATTATACCGGGTACGAGCACAGACCAAAAGGGTATATTGTGTTCATACAGTAACAGCATCTGTGGATCATTATGTATCAGTCATAATAAAAAGAAAAAAATCCCTGGTGTAGCGCCTCTCCCACATTTTGTTTCGTCTGTTCCAGAGACACTAGGCAGACACTTGTACAGATTTAAATTCTATAAAGCAATCTAAGCTTATAGTTTTTTACGGGGCTATATATTCAACTGAATTCTGGGGGTATTTCATGGTCGAACCATTCAGAAGTACGCGCTTCTTCTTGTTTTTGTCTCTGCTTTTTGTTTTCCCATTTTTTCTCCAGTTCCTTTATTTTCGCTCGAACTTTGTCTTTTGCATGTGTTGGCATTCTGCTTGGGAGGCGAAAAATTTCGCGTGACAAACGAGAATTTTATGGCTTCCGTTGACCTGAGCCATATCCTGCGGTTCACTTGCCTGAGTGTCCTTCCCTCCAAGTCCTTTGTCCGTCACCGTTTCCCACTCTGAGCCACGGCTAACAGTTGTCATTGCCATTAAAGCCATAATATGAGACGATGTGATTGCACTCGTTTCGGTCGGAGTCGGACCTGATGGAGGGACTAGGGGTCTGGCTGTGGCTCCTGTGTTCCATTCCCGCTCGTTCCGCGTCCCTATAAAAATAAAGTGTAAATATTTAATGTGCGCTTTCGTGCATGGCGTGCAGCGTTTCCTCACTGCTCTCTTTCTTTTGTTTCTCTTTATTCCAGTTTGAATAATGGAGACACAGACCCAGGAGAACCGCAGAAGTATCATTTTTAATGGATTCCATTCAACAGTTGATCGAACCCTATCCAAACTCGAAAATGGTGACCCTAATGAGCCAACATTCGAATTGCTGTAACATTTGAATCGGGTTTATTTATGCATGAAAATTTAAGGATTTATTGCAAAAAGTATAAGCTATTATTGAAATGGGAAATCCCTTTAAGCTTGTAACGAAAATATTAAAATGTTTATTTACAAATGAAAGCAGAATTCAATATTGCTTTGCGAAAGGGACAAACTCTTTCAATCAACTATAAAAGTAATATGTATATATTTTAGAATGCATATTTGTTTGCCCAAAAGGGTACATGAAATACAAAAATATTTAGCCAGAAATATAGCAAATATTTCAACAATTTCATTTAGAAATTTCTACAAAAAAAAAAAGCATGCATTTATTTCCTCGCATATCTCACATTTGTGGCAATTTTTTTCATATAGAAAACAGACTATTTTTTTATGCTTTGACGACAAAGGAATGAGAGCTTTCTCCCCCCACCATAGAGGGAGGGACTGGCACTGCCTGCCAAATGTTTACTCAACTGTGTTGAAAAACAATTTCGCCAAATGGCCAAAAGGGAGATATGCAGGCAGGCAGGGAGAATTCAAGCAAAAGTCGGCCTCGACAAATGTCATGTGTCAGTGTCAAAAGAATTGCTGTGTGTGGGTAGGGGTTGGGGATATGTCAACACGGGTTCATCAGTCAAATGAGGTTGTCTATGTCGGGGGTTGTGTGATCCCGAAAGTTAAGTGAGTCCCCACATCCTCCTTATCGAGACGAGTCTTTTTGACCTACATTTCTGCAACATGTGTGTGTGTGTTTCCTTAATGTTTATTAATGTGTTCCACCCCTACACGAAAACACTCTTCCACTCAAAGGTGGCACATGAGGAGCTGTATCTTCCACTCCAAATTGAATCGTTTAATTAGCCTGATGGCTTGGAAAGTAGCCGAGCTGCCTCAAATGGTGTTCAACAGACAATAGATGGGACGACAACTTAAAGTTGGCAACTTTCATGCAGAGCAGTGAGAGCAGAGCTAACAGCTTCGCATCCACCAGGATGGGGTTCCATTTGTCACACCCCAGTGAACCGTTCGGAGCTAAACGGGTTTGCATCCGTAATCGAAGAAGTAGAATTTTTCTGGTAACCGGGCACAGGGACTCTTCGATTCATTTTAATTACAAACCAAACCCAATTCGCTGCACACCAAATGCCGAGCTGGCAAATGAACGGCGCGGAGCGACGAAGAGCACTTGAAATCCTGTGCTTGATGGGCACACGATGAAGTTGCAAAATATTTGATCAAGTGTTTGGCATTTTGTATATTTTTTTTTTACTGCTTTTGCTGCTGCAAGTGAAAGCCGTGCTGGGGTCTGCGCTGAGCTGGAGGACAACAAGTAACTTCTTTTGCGCGAACTCATTCAGTCGAGGCTTAATGAACAGAGTCTTGGCAGGAGGGCGGAGCCGCCTTTGGTACTTGTTGTTGATACAACTCATTAGACGCAAGCGAATGCGTACTCAAGTGGGTTGGCAGCAGCCAGCCCAGTCGGGCTCGGGTCTAACCCCCTACCGCCAACCAACTCTTATACTTGATGCTCAACGATCTGTGGGATGCCCAAAGGCGGATGCTTATGCTGTGCCATTTCAATTTCTTTTACTTAAATTTCTTACGTAGTTGAGCTTAATGCTTCGTTCTATCTAAGAACAGTTTCGTCAATGAATTTAAAGAAAAATCAGTACAGCCCAGACATACGAGAAGGTTGTAAAAGGTGAAATTGATACATTTCGTTCCATTCTTATGTTTCACTTGATATTATATTCGAAATCTGTTCATTTGTAGGGGGTACTCCAGCCTTTAACATACTTCTGCTTTATAACCTATATTTATCTTAGATAAATGCGTTTAAGTGGGATATCTATCAGATGTCTCTGATTTGTTTCAAGAAAATATTTTAGATTAAGAGAGGAGGCAACGTAGTCTAAATAAGGAAGTGAAAGCGTAAACTGTTAGTCGGAAGAGTTCATTCCGTTCTGTATACGGCTGTAAAGACGACAAACCGTCATATAGAATGTTTATTAGTTATTTGTTTTTAATTTTAGAGGTAATATACAATAATACGTTTAAGAGGTTTGAGTGGGTCTTAGAGTACTAGTAACTAGACCTTCGCCTATGTGTTCTATTTATTTATTTGTTAGTTTATATGTACCATTATTATTTTATTAAGCAATCGTCTATTTGGACTTTTAAAGGCTGTTTAATCTCAAGTCAATAAAACTAACTTGAATCAATAAATCCATCCATTCTCCAAATCTCGTTTCTCACACCATTACCCACCAACATTTTCCAAACCATTCCTAAAAAAAATAAACAGAAATATTTTTTAATTGAAATGCGCTGAAATACGCATTATGGCCTAAGTAAACAGGCCTGGCCTGTAGAACCCCACCTATCTCATCCTCCCACTACTAATCCGCTGCTGCCAAAGATAAACTCAAATATTGTCGGCGAAAAAGAGGAAATTTTTAATCAAAACAAGAGCAGGAAAAAAACAAAGCAGCGGACAAAAACCCGTCAGACAAATGCGGCACTTTGGCAGCTTAGCGCGGCATTTGGCTAAAAGGAAAACAAACACGAGTCAGGATCAGGGCGTCGGAGTAGTGGGAGAGTCAGCGAAATTATTAAGCCAAAATTAAGGAGAATCCCAGAGTAGAAAAACAGCGAACAAAAAGGATAACAAAAGCGCGTCAAAGGATCAAAGGTAAAAAGAAAAAAAAGGGAAAAAGGGGAGTAAAAATGTAAGTGAAGGAGTTGTGGTGTCGTGTAGAAGATTGCCACCTAAACAAACATGGCCTGGCCAAAAGTGAGCTGCGGCCAAGACGACTTGTTCGCGGGCGAGCAGAAGTGCCAAAGTAAATTTAAGCGGAAAATTCTAATAAGCTCTGGTCTCTGGTCACCCAGGAATGGTAGGTATGTCCGTCAAGGGTTGGACTGGGACTGGATCTAACCCTTCTTTTCTGTTATTTGGTGACTGACAACAGACCGCGAAAATTTAATTCACGCGCACAAAATGATTTTTTTCAATCATCCGTCGATGAGCCGCGGAATATTTCAGCAATTTAAGCAGCTTTCGGCGGGGTTGAGGACCAAGTTGGTGGTGGGGTCGTGTAAAATTCTTAATTAATAATCTGTAGCGAAGCTGCTGCGCCACCCTTCAGGTCCTGGCCACTTCATCATACCCCCTTCCTACCCCTACTCCTGATGTGTAGTCAATTGAAAATTTTGCGTTTTGGCAATGAGCCGAGCCGTTCGAAATCGCCTTTAAATCCGTTGTAATTAAGCAGCCTCGCCATGGCCAAGAGCGGGTTAAGCGGGGGGAAGGTCTGGCGCTGGGGGTTTGAGGTGCTCCCGGCTTTATGACATGATTATGAATTGCTCTCCGGCCGCAATATCCATGAGGGGGTTAACAAAAGCCGCAGAACAGTCATCAGGCCGTCAGGCCGGGGCCAAAGTCAAAAGTCAATAGTTGGTCGGGGAAGATGGGAACGGGAACTGGATGGATGGATATGGATGGGAGCCCATAAAGTTTGATACGCGAAATTAAATTTTGGAACTTTGCTTGAATTTAATATTAATTAGTTTGAGCGTTTGTGTTTTGGTTATGCAAATTTGACTGCTCATTTCGGTGGCTGGAAATTCGTATATTAATTAGCCAAGAACTTTGGGGAATATTCAACATTAGTCACAGGTCACTGAATATTTTCGAATGTGTGAGAATGGTCAGAACGATCTAATGATTTTTATTTAATGAATATGTTAGAGAGCAAGTCTGTATTTAAAATGCTGAGCTCTGGACAGGTTTTTTTTCTGTAGTTTGACCTGAACATCAACAGCAATATTGCCCATTCAATTTGTAGGGTGCGTGTCATCGATTTCATTCATAAAAAATTGTTTGTGATTTTTATTTAATTTTTAAACCTTTTTTTTGTCAAGGTATGGACTGCTTTTCGCTTCTGATCTGGGTTTTATACATATATAGTTCATAAATAAAAATTATTCCTAATTTCTATTCACTGTAACTCAACGTTACTAATTTCCACACTTCGGAATTTGGGATTTTCTTCATCTGCAATTAAAAATAGTTTGACTTTCTGCAAAATAACACTGCAGACCAAACACTCACCAGTTCCAGCCTAAGTACATTGGTTTTCTCAAAGTCTCCCAACAATTTAAAGCGTCTCTCTGTGTTAAAACTTCAATAAACGACATCAGAAGCTCTGAGAATAAAATGCTTAAAATACTGTTCTTTGTTTTAAGATGATCCAATCTTTTGCACTTTCTGAGAACTGTTATTATATCCTTTGCATAACAATCGACTTGATAATCTTTTGGCACTAATGTTAGGCGCTCCAGAGTGCTGGCGTACTTTGAAATAAAGGGTGCAATGCTTTCCTTCCAACATACAGTGTAAATTAATCTCAAGTGTTTGAGCCTTGGACATGTCGGCAATTCTAACTCAATCGTCATGTACAGTAGTGACATATCTTCCAATTTAGGATACAAAAAATCCATCTTCTGTGATAGATATCGGAAACTAGAAACTGAAAAGTCCCTAAGTTTCATCAACTAAGAACATACTTCGAAAATATTTTTTATATCACAAGAATTCACATGCAATTTTTCCAAGTGTATCAGTTTCTGTAAATATTTCTATGAAAACAAAATTCAAAGCACTTTAAAGGGGAATTATTCGCGTGCTTTAAAGCCTTACCCTGACCCATCGAAATTGAATATAAATACAATGTTGTACTGTATGGATTTACGTACTCCAGCAGATCCGCTGCGCCATAACTATAACTATCCAAGTGAAGTTGTTTGATGCCTGACATTTTCAAAACACGTTTGATCGCGTTGAAATTTGTAGTTTTTATCATAAAATAGGCAGATTCCAGGTTAATGCAGCACTTTTCTATGAGTTTTAGAATTTTATCAGACACTTTATCAGAACATATTGAAACATGTACATAAAACAGTGGATCCGCATAATGACAGAATAGTTCCCAGTTCCTCATCTGTATAGCGCATTATATATTTATTAATATGTACAAATTGGCAGCAATCCAGATACTTATATTTGCCTCGAACGTGGTAGGAAAATGCGCGGCCCAGCTGTTCGTTGACCTGTGCCAATTCTAGTTGGTCTTTCTCTTGCAGGTGTCCGAGCACTTTGTCGATGATCTCCATACGTGATTTTTCAAGCATTTTGTTACCGCAATACCAAAACGTTCTAGCAAAGAGATACCGGAAACAAGAATGAGCAAATGTATGTACATAAGTATCAGAGATGGGAGTTCTTAGAGCCTGACGATATATTGTACAGATAAATTATGTATATCGTTGTTTACGTCTGCATTTACGTCAAGCGGAAATTATCGAAGAGCAGCAATGCACTGAACTTAATTTTTTTAGAATTAGTTTCGAACTTTGGTCAATTTTTAGAGCTGTTCTATTTTGTTCATTTTTTGTTTGTTTCGATTTACAATTCATTAATATATTTTATATTATGGGGCAACATTTGCTTGGGTTGATAAATATAAAAAAAAGTAAAGTTTTAGCCGTGATTAGACTTTTATTTAAAAATATTTTTTCGATTTGTTGATTTGTATAATATTTAAAGTGATAAAGTTGAGTATGCCTGAAAAGCTTTGTGGTATAAATTTTATTGTGAATAATCTTTCCTATAGGAGGTAATAATAAAGCAAACTGTGACAATAAAAATTAAAAAAAAACATGAACTTTAAAAGATTTGAAAATGTTTTCACATAATGGTTAATAAAATGACATATCCATAGATTAAATTGGTTAACTTCATCGATACGGAATGGAAGTGTCTATTTAATTTCTTAGTCCCGCTGAGCCTTTCGCTATCACTGCCCATATGCTAACCGCAAATACACTTTGGCAATTAATTGTGTAATCCCCTCAATGAAATGTATCACTACTTCAGTTAATAAGTTGAAAATGCTTAATGGCAACCCTTCTTCCCATGTCTCTTTAAGCCGAATAAAAACCCTTCTTTTAAACGAAAAGTCAATATGCATTAATAATTTTTTATTTCAGCTCGACACTTGTTACAATTTTTTAAGGCCAATTTATCGGTAGAGCGAGGAGTTTACACATAGAGATATTGTGATAATCCGCTTATAAATGCATTTTCCATCATACAGGCTTTTAAAGGAAATTTTTCCACATTTTACACATGAGAGGAGTTTGAAATTCTGGAAATAGTTGTTCTGGCAATTCTCCTAGCCTTGGGGGTTGCTTTCGATGACTGATGGCAGGGCTGGCCAGGGCAGGGCAGTAGTTAAGCCTGTTAATAGCAGGAAGGAGAGAATGAGAGAGGGAGAGGAGAGTCTTTCTTGCTAATGTGACATAATTGAAAATCAAAACTAAAGCACTTAACTCTGATTCCGCACAGCGAAATGAACAAAAAGGTGAACATATGTGAGAGACAGAAATTGGGATGGGACTGAACCCAAAAAATGACAGTTTAACTGTCAACCAGTTTAGCTGCTTCTGCTGCTGCTGAACGGTTCCGATGACAAGTGCAATCGGCCATAAGGTGGTTGAGTTAATAGAGTGTGATTGTGTGGGGATTTAAATTAGGCAAATGTTTTGAACGAAAAATTGGTTGCACTTTGATTGATTGGAGGTGGGTCTGGGTCTGGCCCTCTCTCTGTCTCTTCGTTTAGCCAAACCAACTGTCACGGTTACTCAAGTTACCCAACCCGGTTACCCCAAAAATGATTTTCAATGCTAATTGCTTGTGATCATTGCCCACATTTAGGTGTTGTATAACCTATTGAGGTGTCTGTCACACCCCACACAAACCCAAAATGACAATTGCCACAATAAATAGTCTCAACTTTCAAATTTCTCCAACTTCCCCTAACCACTGTCTCGCCTCCTATTACCTACCCATTAAATTGTGTTATAAACACCCCATATTGTTGTCCCTTTTTCCCCGTTCTTTATCCGTGTTTCATTTCATGTTTTGAGTAATGCGAATTGACTTAATTAGCAGCGGGATCAAATTCCAACGGGGTACTTACAAGCAAACTTCGGAGAGGGCATATAAGGTAGGATACTCAGAATTTGTTTTCAATTTAAACTAAAAATTGTTCAACAAATAAAGGGACTTTAAGTCCTGTTTAGTGCTTTTGCATTTCATTTCGTTTAACCTTTAAATGCGCCTGGGGACATGCGAAATGCCAGGAAAAGGCCGTAAATGGAGGAGGAAAAATCCTCAAAACAGAAAACAGGAAAACCCTCGCCCACATATGCCCATTTATCATGTCAAATCTGACATTTGTAATTGTAAACTGATACGCCTCGAAGGCAAAACGCAACAGGAAGAGTATGGGGGAGTGGAGTGAGGCAGTTGTCATATCTATTTCTATAGCTTTCCGCCAGAAAAACCAGCAACATATGCGAACATTTTCTTTGGGAAAACCTCCACACATGAGATAATCCTCCTTCCCCCAACAGGCAAATGGAAGAAATATTCTGTAAAAAAAATATTGCGAGCTATTTTAAAATTCAATTAAAAAACATTAAATCATTTTTGGCAACTTTCTTTTGGTGGCGCCGCGTGCCTGGGCGAAAATTGCAAACCACTTAAATGTAATAAGTGTCGCTATAAATAAGGGAACATATCTCACAGAGTTAGCGATTTTTCCACGGACAACCCCCATATGGAACACGCTTACGATCCTGCGCCTGGCTGATGGGAACGCAGGCCCGTAGGCAAATTCAAATAAACTTGTATTTGAATGTTATGCACAGAGCAACAAAGGAGCGAACCCGCATTAACAAAACTTTCACGCGAGTGGGTTGATAAGTGCTTGATATCGATATGGTTCAGGGGAAGGTGGAAAAAGTACCTAAATATTGTGGTAGATAGCATCTTAATGCAACAAACTATGATTGAATATTTGTTAAAAATTAAATAGTATATCTAAAATGCTTAGCACATCCTTTTTTGAAACCCTTCAGTTCCATCTCGCTTTCGGTACCATCTTTGTTTCTCCTGTCCCGAGCCCGAGGTGATGTCTGCTCAATGGTGCGGAGCAAACTGCTTCCACCATGTCTGACTTTTTGATGGCCCATTGAGATGCTCTGCTGCTGCTGCTGCTTTTGGTACTCCTTCTACAGCATACAGCTTCCACCCACATACTCGTAGCGTAGGTCCTGGCTTGCATTTTTCCATGCGCCTGTCAACATTTTAATTAAAAAAGGTTACGGACCCATGGCTACGGCTACACGGGCCAGACGAAACGGACAGCCCAGCCAAAAGCCATATGTAAAATTTTTCGCGTTTTCTTTGGGGGGCGTCCAACCAGACCGTGGTGCCGTGGTGGGTGTGGCACATCGAAAGGGTGCCAAAATAATAAACTCGTTTCGCAGTTACAAACAATTTCCTTTTTCAATTTTGCTCGCTCCCGTTGTTGGAGCGTTTTCTTTTTTTTCGTCCCGCTTTTGTGCTTTGTGCCTCGTGGGTCATTACGCGTGTGTCGCATTACAGGAATAGTCCGGTCCGGTCCAGTTCAGCCCAGTCTGCTCTGCTGTGCTCCGGACGAACCTTCTACGGTTCCAGTTCCCTGGCTGGCATTGTTTGCCATCATTTTAATTTTATTTATTGTGCGACTGCCGCCGCCAACCCTCATATGGGGAAGCGTACCCCATCAGCAGGCACGGGCCTCATGCAAATTAGATGAATTGCTTTGCAGTCCAGGTTCGTCGAGACTTCCCTCCTCTCTGGCCCCTGTCGTAATGACTTGGCCATTGGCTCTTGGCCCACTCCGAATCCGAATCCGTTTTCATCTCCATCTGACCGCCCTTCCGTCCTCCCTCCTCTGGCTTTAGCTAGCCATGTCAATGGTTTTGCGGACATTTATTGTTCGAAAGCTATTACCCCTGCCCCCAGGAATATGGAAGGAAAGACTCGACACCGCTTTTGATTGTTTTTCTGTTTGCTTGGGGGTGTAGGGAGAAAGAAGCCCTTTCACGATTGCCATAATGTTTAATTGCTTTGTCATTATATCTGGAAGTTATGGCTACTTGTGTACCATCCAGCAGAAGGGCTGTCAAAGTGCACTGAATATGCACTTGAGACAACCGGGGGGTACAGTTGCCACACGGCCTGGACTAGTCGGAACGATGGGAAAGAGGTGCAGAGTGCAACCGTACCTTTGTGTTCCACTCCATAGTGTTCCCTGAGCTCGGAGATGCTCATTTGTAAGTCCCATTAATCCACTAAAAATTAGCAGATCTGTGCTTTATAATGTATTTTCATTAAGGGTTTCTCCTGCCATCTAAGTACAGTACAGTCTCTCCAATCCGCACCCCATTCCATTGCACACTGAACTCCACTGAAACCCCCAACCACATGCCCTCGCCATTCAGTTTGACATTTTCATTCATTTGTCTACGCACTCGCCTAGTGGTAAAAAAAATAAAGACAGAAAAACCCCGAAATACATTTCAAACCGTCGTTCATCGGAGCGTTCCGCCATTTATCCATTCGCCATTGTTCGATGGCCGAGTGCAGACAGCTGCCTGCTGTGATGCTGGCTGGCCAAAAACTTTCACGGCTGTCAATATGGCCAACAAAAAAGACTGCTGGCCGAGCGGAGGTGGATGTAGGTCCAGAGAGAATGGCTCGAGCTTGGCAAGCATTTTTTCACGCCACAAATGGAAAGCGCACTGGCATTTTAATCAACATTAAGCAGAAATGCTTTTTGCAAACATTTCTGCCCAGCTCCTCCGACTCCGACTACGATTCTGTGTCCATCAGACTGACTGACTGACTGACTGACTGACAGAAAGTCCTGGGCATTGTCATTAATTCTACGTATGTGTTTTGGTCATTTATAACGCCGAGACTTGCAAATTAAAAAGTAGAAACAGAGCAGCACAACAACAAAAAAATCAACGCAGAAACAGCGTGGAAAACGTGTGGCGAAAGTTTCTCTCGTGATGTGAAAAAATTTCAATTACAAACAACAGCCAAATGTCAAACCAAAAGTACAGGGATGCGACGAGTCGGGGTCACCACCCACCACCTCACTCTCACATCCCATGGGGGACCGCGAAACCTCAACACTTCAAAGTCTGTCTGCCACACCCGCCGAACCGTCGCCGTCTCTCGGGGAATTATCCCAAGCAATTTTCGTTGGGTGCTAATAATTACACCGCCCCCCGAAAGAATAAGAAATGTAGCCAAGTTTATGATTATGAAACGGCTTTGACAAGATTTTCCAAAATGCTTTTACGACTTGACCCGACTCAACCTCCAGCCGTACGAATCCTGTAAAATATTTCATTAATTTTAATTGGAAATTGCGCTGCTGAGACGGTGGTCCAGCGGTGGTCGAGTAGATAATTACAGCTCTACCCTAAGCAGGGGCTATTCAAATATTCCACTGAAAGCGGAAACAATGCAGTCCAGGGGATTGGGTCTTGGCGGGGGACTTGGGGGGACAGCTCCCTGGTTTAATTTGAAACAAAAGTCGTAAAAATGTT